GAGGAGGAGGTGGAAGAGGAGGAGTAACAATGCACACGGCAAGTGCACTCAAATGTGCACGCGCGTCATGTGTATGCCTGCACACAAACACCCAGAGAGACTCGTGTAGGCATGGATGCTTGTGAACTTCATGGACCTAATACAAATGACACACACCAAAACGTGCAAACACACTCGAACAGCAGATCATCCCAAAAGCGTGACGTTTGAATTCAACGCCATGCATCCGTCGTCTAAAAGTGTCCTACTCCAAGCGGGGGGGAGCAGGGCTCATGCTTCGTCTCGGAGAGAACCACACAAAGAATGACAACTCGTCTCCAAAAGATCAACAAATCGAGGCGCTCATGTTGTTGACCAACAATGGTGAGCTGTCATGTAACGAAGGGACGTGCGCCACGATGTTGCCATATGAGCATTTTGCCAACAGCGGGTTCGCCTTCTGTATTTTATATTTAAGTGTGGATTTTCCATCTTTCCAAACATGTTCTATAACGCGTGTCCTCATGATTGAGATGGGTGAGCTGGAGCCTATCCCAGCGGACTTGGATGATAGAAAGCGGGTGCTCCCTGGACTGGTCGCCAGCCAATCAACGGACGCATATAGGCAAACCCATCACAGTCACATTCCCAACAATGAACATTTTTCAAATGACACTCAAATAGTCTTCAATGACCCAAATGAGGGGAGGGCATGCTAACAGCAGACAGGAAGACTGGAGCCAAGATTCAAACTCTGAATCTCAGGACTGTGAAGTAGACGTGTCGACCACTAAACTCGGGTGCTGCAGATTGTAATTTCATTCATGGATACAGTTTCCTAAAGCTGCGTTCACTTGCGATTGAAACAAATGCCGGTACGTTTTCAGTGCTGCAGATTGTAATTTCATTCAGGGATAGTTTCCGAAGGCTGTGTTCACTTGCGATTGAAACAAATGCCGGTACGTTTTCTCTAGTAGTGTGGTTCCAACGCTAGAGTATTGCTGTGATTGATAAACAAGTGGACCAGAAAAAAAACTCGAGTGGTTGGGATTAGCTGACCAAGCACAACTCTCCCTCCATTTTAGAAAGTGCTTATGCTGTTCGGGGTTGCGGGGAGGTGGAGCCTCCTGCATCGCAGCTGACATCAGGCAACGGGCAGACTACACCCTGGAAGAAATCAATCACAAGAGCCAAATAGGGACAGACAACCATTCTGACTCAAATTGACAGCATCAGTGGGAATCCAACCACAAGTCGGGCGTGTGAACCGCTACACCATCATCAACATCATGATCCCTCCGAAGGATGATACAATTTCTTCAATGAACCTAAGAATCCCTGCCTCAATGCAGTTCAGTTGTCCATGCATCCATTTTCTGATCCACTTTATCCTCACAAGGGTCGCTGGGGGTGCTGGAGCCTATCCCAGCCGTCTTCGGGCAGTAGGCGGGGGACACCCTGAACTGCTCGCCAGCCCATCGCAGGGCACACAGAGACGGAAAACTATCCGCACCTTGGGAAAATTTTGAGTGTTCAATCAGCCTGCCATGCATGTTTTTGGAATGTGGGAGGAAACTGGAGTACCCAGAGAAAACCCACGCAGGCATGAGGAGAACATGGAAACTCCACACAGGAATGCCGGAGCTGGAATCGAACTCGGTACGGCCACACTGTGAGGTCGACGCGCAAACCACTCGTCCACTGTTCCGCAGTTGTATTTAATTTTTAGGTTCAATCCATTCATTTGCATTTCATCTGGACCAACTGTGTATTTGGAAACACTTATTTAGGTACAATTGCTTTTGACTTTGATGTGCAATACATTTTACTCGAATTATTAAGTACAGATATATTTTTTTTCACCTGTATTCAAGCACAGTGTTAATGTTAGTACCAGGAGGAAAGCCACACGAGCATGCAAATTCTACACAGGAAGGCCAGAGCAGAGATTCTAACCAGCGAAGCAGAGATGCTAATCACTGCACCGCTGTATGACCCGCAAAATGTGCCGTGCATCATTTTCTGTTTGGTGAATACAGCCATACAAGCACACTTCAAGAATATTCCCACAGTGAGATTTGCTATTCACATTACCCCGTGTCCCTGCATAAAAATGCATTAAGATGTACGTCATAGCACTGAAAAAGCAGGATGTGATTTGGATATGCGGTGAACACTAATCCACTCAGCGAAGATAAGTGGAGAACAAATAGAACGGTGAGATAAAGTGTTATTAATGACGCAGCAAGGCCCGACGTATACTCGTTCTTTCTCCCAGTCTCATCAGTCATTGTTTACGTCGTACAGTACTTGAAATGCGGCAAGTGTGTGAGACAAGAGCACCTGTCACTCCTGTGAAGAAAATGTGGAAAGATTAAGTTGAATGACTGCGTCCACTTCAGTAAAAGTAACCTGGACAATGAAGCTCGTGAACCTGCTGCAGAGCTTCTAATTTTGGAGCTCCTGCCGGATCTGTCTTGATGGATGCCACGTGCAGTCGGCTCATTAGCCGGTCCTTGTAAATTCGACTTGTTCTGCCGCCTGACTGCACTTCACTCGCTTTGCATCCTGCCCGTCTCCATCTTTAATTGCTTATTTCACATCTTTTTATTTGTACCCGACTGCTGGTGGTCTCTTTTGCTGCTGTCTTTATGGAGTGCCATATCCAAACTTATCACGGTGAAACTGTCTGCCTGAGGCCTGTTCGGGGTTTCACTTTTATTCACGATGCACCAAACTGTGACCATGGCAAATGTCTTTGTGTGCTCGATTACGCCTATCCATGGGTAGGGCTCCTTTTAATTTTGTTGAGCTCCATTAATTCAATTCAAAACAAAAAGATGAGGAAAAAAACCCCTCCATTCTTTGTTTAATGTTGAAATATGACGAAGGACCCATGTGTTTTATGTGTGATTCTACAAGTTATAAATGTGTCGTGCAATAAATTGTCAGATGTGGTTTTTTTAACTCTATATTATTGTATAAATATTGTACATAGAAAACACTCCTATTTTGCAAGCAAAAGATTCACTTTTTACTGTTGTTATAAATTAAACTGAACAGCTGAATATACTCATTCTTGCCTGGTTTATTTTGTGTTGTTGATCAGCAGCCTTTCTTGAGACCAACCTTGAACTCATTCCAAAGTTCAACATACTCTTAAACAGAGGCAACCGAATGTCCACTCAGCTTCTCTGCCTAACTCACAAAACAACTCTAGCGCTG